GGGACGTTGAGGCTATTCACGAGACCTGTCCGTGCAGCGACACTGAATTCTAAAATTCATATTCATTTTAACGTTAGTTGAGAACGCTGTGTGGAAAGGGAGTAATCTACGCAAAACATGTGACGGAACTACGCCCACGGGATTCAAGACGTGTTCGCATGTATGGGATGCCGAAAGTACACAAAGAGAGAGGATTCCACTGCGTCCAACTCTTTCAATGGTTGGGACGCCACACCAGAAAGCGGCACGATGGTTGGCCAAACTACTCGAGCCTATTCGTTCTGAGCTGGCTGTGCACAGTCTAAAAGACACCTTTGTGTGTTCGTTGACTAAGTTCGGAATTTGAATGAGTTAGCTAAGCACATGGTATGTTATGATGTCTGTTCTCTTCTAACTAACGTTCCTTTGGAGAAGCCTTTGAACATCAACGGTACGCATGCGGACAAAGTCAGCGTGCCAGCACACTGATGAAAGACTGTACTCCACATTTGTACGAAAGATATCAATCTTTCTTCGATGGAATTCTCGATCGTCAATTGTGGGTGTATCAATGGTAGCCTACTAGGACCGATTTCAGCCGACATCTTCAAGCGTCATTTGGAGAAGAGTAAACTACGCGGTGTCACTGAAGCAACACACTTTTACACAAGGTGCATCGACAACACGTTATGGTAGTTGACACTGCCCAGCAAGTGAAAAACGTTTTGGAAACTTTAAACAAATACCACCCAGAAATGTCTTTCACTTTGGAGAGTGAGGCAGGAGGTTCGTTTCATTTCCTTGACGTTGCTTTGAAAAAATGCAGGTGGTTCGCTCAAAAGATTCATTGAGTGGTAACCGAGCTTGACTGGAAAGTACCTGAATCTTAATACTTACTGCCTTATGAACTACAGTTAGTTCTTAACTTGCACGTATTTAGTAACAGGTCACCGAACGTGGTCCGAAAAAGCGATGTAGGCTGAATTACGATGTATTGCATCCAATCTACTTGATAATGGCTATCTCAGCGCAGTTCTCTTCAGATATAGGGAGCGAATTGCGAGAAATGAAAAGCGGATTTGTGACCCGAAGTAAAACCGCTACATTACGCTACCATATATAGAAGGATAGAACGATGGAAGATTCTGATATCTGAATAATGTATTATAGAGCAAGTAAAAATGAATTCTGTACAACTCTTCCGAAATATGGTGAAAAACGTTATGAAAGTTGTCAACCGTGAATATCATTGTCGTTCTCATGTAACATTTAAAATATCTGACTCACAATATTTCAGGACTCGCAAATGTGATATATAATCGTAAGTGTACAATCGTTCTCTGAATCGAATCCGACGCATCCGACGGTAGGACAAAGTGTAGAGTCCTAGTTTCTCGCACCGGTCTTCATACCCCAAGTCACGTAAACTCGGGATGAGCCTGGTAGCAACGTGTTGGACCCGTTCGATCTTTTGTGCCTCGCATCTGGTAATCGGAAAGTAGGCGGGCGAACCGTACTCTAGCATTGGTCTAATGATAGAAGAGAAGAGGCGAGTGGCAACCTCTTCAGACCATGTGCCGAAGCTACGTTTGAGCGCCCAAAGCATGCGCAGTCCGTTACGATATAGCCTGTTCGTGTTGTCCACGGACTTCAAATCGTAGCATGAGAGTACACCTAGGTCCTTACGTCATGCCATAATGTGGTGCTACTACGCATCTGAGCTCGCGGTGTTACCTCAGACCGAGAAACTGCTTCATGAGTCCGTCTTGGATAGACTTCACCATCAAATTACTGCCTCATCTGTTTACCAGTTTACACGTACATTGGCTGAACTGAGAGAAGGCTAGCAGCCAGAAGCATGGAACATGTTCCACGAATCTTAGCAGCGATTGGCCTTAAGCTTGCTGTCAGATCAATCGTCCAGCATGTGCTCCATTGCACTTTGTGCGCAAACCCTCGTGACGCATTCCGGATTCTCAACAAGCAGAACATTTTGAGCTTGCTTCCGTTTACTGAGGACTACACCATCCAACGCCCGAAGTCAAATCTCTGCAGACAGCTAGTCTTTGTGGTCAGCCTCGCCTTGTCCTGCTAAGTCGTGTTTCTCCTCAGTACAGCCGATGATCTTGAATTTCTCGGTGTCCTATTGACTCCCTTATTGATTCCTTTACGTTTGGGTTTCTTTAATCCTTTCACCGTTTTTCTTTACGCACTTGATTGAGAATACACGAAACAATCTGAATTCACTTTCTCCCGCTCACATATTGTTCGCTGTTTCCATCGGTTTCCGAGTTTGGCTTCTTACGAACTAAACTGTTTTAGGTTACTTGTAAACTTTTGTCTCTAAAGCATCCGTCCTCAGTCAGTTGAACCTGCTGAGGAATTCTAGGCGGACGACTTTCTTGTGAAACCATAGACCCATAACAGTTTACACGGTTCTGAAATCTGACTTTCCAATAGGCGATCAGCCGCGCAGGTTCATACGCACGCACACGCGCAATCACAGGAAGATCGATGAGGAAAAACTTAGTCACCGCATGGGATCGAGTCTCGCGCTGAGCGGTAAGACTTGCACTAGCTGTTGAAACGATTCCGTTGCTTTAGCATGACCACAATGTGCTGTGAATATTGAGGGCCGAAAATAGTAAGCAGATATGCATCTGTGTTGCTCCACACACACACACACACACACGCGCACACACACACACACACACACGGAATAGCCTAATGCATTGGCAACCACTCTCAACACAGTTTGATTGCAATGAAATCTGGATCAGGTACGATGCGTTCTCGAAACCTGTACTCCGCAAAGTGGGCATCTATGAAATTTTTGAATTATGAGACGGATTTTTCTTCGACGCTTGTTTCGGGGAAACTATTTCAGCACTGAACAATGGAACAATGGTATAATACGGATAAAAAGCCAAAGCCCTATAGGTCCCATGGGATTTATTTATGAATTACTTAAGTTCACAAAAAAGTTATACCAAAGTGAAACGCGCGTTTGTGGGTTCACCATAATATCCACATTAACACACATGTATATCAGTTTGTCCCGCTTTCGTGGGTTTGGTGAGCACAATGCTTGTGTGCGTCTTGTCACCATTCGAACAGAATTCAAATCAAATGATGCAGATAGAGCAACGCATTGTTGGTTTGTTTTTACCAAATAAGAAGTGTGGGCGCGAAAATGACAAAAGTCGAGAGAGATTTCAACGCTGCCAAATTCGAAAAGAAAAATAATTCCCGCGTCATTGCAGCCGAATATATTGGGTGGCCAATTTCTGCTGGTGACATCTCAATTTTGTGTTGCGGCTAAGTTTCAAGTGGCGGCAAGTGTGACCGTGACTTTTCAAGACCGGTTACGCCAGAATGAGGCCGCGCCGTAAACGGCGATAACTTCCGCTGTACACTCCTAAGACCTTCAGTCGCAGTCGGCATGACAGGCGGATCAATCCCTTCACATTTTCGGTTGCTCTTCGCTACGCGGTCTCCAGAGCAACCCGATCGCACTTTATCCAGGGTTGCCAGACTTAAGTCGCGTACTCTACGTGGGGCTTCATGTATGCATTCAGTATTTGGGGGAAGTTGGAGTGGTCGAATCGCCTGAACGCCCTCCGTAGAAGACCAACATGTTGATTCGCAATTTTGGACGCCTTCAAGGACCGCGCCGAATAGCCGAGATGGTCGTACATCACCACTTAGTGGTCGAGGTGGTCTTCAAGATGTGGTCGCCAAGCTTATTTGCGTTAGTGGGTTCGTGGCGTACCTGTACCGTTTTTCATCACTTTATGCTCGATGCATAGGTGAGCTATCAGCTTTAGAATATAGTGTGTCCAATTTAGTTTTCGAAACGTCCCAACTTATAGTGCAAATGTTATACGCTCCTTTCAACCTTTATGTTTATGTGCCCGGATTGGTTACTAAACCAACCGAAACACGGTTACTGTCCCAGATGGTGCTGCACCACCCGGCGGCCACTTAACCTGCAACCTGTCTGGCTTTAAAGTAGTATCATGCTGAGGCGTATTCGTCATTTGGAAACAATGTGTGACGGAATTAGTGCTTTATTTCCTATTTATAGCAGTTAGTTAATCAATCGCATCTAATGTATCTGCTCGTGTAGGATAACCATAAATTAAAGGTGGAATTTCATACGGGACTTTCCCTGTACAAATTTCCTAATAGCAAGAAGAAGAAGTATTTCAACACTATATTCTGAATTCAGATATTTCGTGTCCTCTCATCAGCTGTTGGCAGGTAATCAGTGGAACTACTCTTATGTAACACACAACGGTAAAACGGGGTATATCCAGTTCAGAATGCAAAATATCCTGTTGAAATCTTCTTCTTCTTCTTACTATTCTAAAGGTGGAATTAATTGTTTATATTTTGCCACAAGTTTCTAACTGTGGCAGATTCATTTCGCATGTGCATTTATATGAGGAGTTAGAGACGAAGTATTAGTCACTCGTGTCTATTCCAACTAGGTCCTCATACTCCAGGTTAGGTTAAGTGCAATCTTGCTGCACTAGTATTTGGCCACTAACAGAGAGACGCGGCTACATAAACACTAAATGAGTACCAACTTTAGTTTTCATTGTCGCTGCACGGACACGACCCTTGGATGACCTCAACTTACCAATTGTCCTGGAGTTACACAATCCATCGTTCGTATATCACATTCCGCCCACCTTCGGCTCGACAGTCATTTCTAACGTTGAAAATACGGATCTACTCACCCCATGTTGGTGCTTCCTGAGTTTCCATACAGTCATTGCTCTCTGATCAGAATACGTTTTCTTAAGAACTTGTTTGGTTAGTTAATTGCTCAGTCGATTAGACAAATAATTACCTGAACAAATACCATTTCCTATGATTATCTAGTGAGCATCTCATATGTAGTAGTTATTGTTGGTGGTCTTTTCATGACACGCTTAGTAGTATCAAAGTTTTCCAAATAAAGTTTTTGCAGTTTCGCTTGTATGTCCTCCACCATATGCCGATTCTCTTTACAGGTTCGAACAAAACCCATTGCGGCTTACCTCACTGAAGATGATGAATAGCGCCATAAGAATTGGTGAGCCACATATTCATGCTATATTCTTGTGCTACCAGTGACCAACCACACTCAGGACCGTTACGGCATGATACAAACGTATGCTGGGGATTTTGCGTTGTTGTCCGAGCTGAATGATTAGTTTGCGGATGTTTTGTTACCAAACTAGGGAACCTCCTCATTGTGACGTGAAGGGTATGGTTCGCGGTGCCTCGTAAGCGGCCTCAAGATCCAAGTGCTTATTGATTGAGTTCTGCTTTCAATGCTAGGCTTCGGTGTACTCTCGTGCTTGTCGGCTTTTTGCCCTTCCGAGCATCCTGGCATGCTCCAGGTCGAATTGGTTGTTTCGGCATCCAGATGCACGGACATCAGGGAGTTCCGATCGTCACTACGAATGGCTAGGCCATGTTCATGCAGCCTTGTGTCAAGCCTTCTTCCTGTCTTTCCCACGTAGCATTTGTCACAGTTTTGGCAGCAACTCTTCCAGATCCCATTAGCTGTTTCATCTTTATTAAGTGTATCCTTCCCAGGAAATTTTTACTTTCGTTGATGAGCAACCTTGACTCCAAAAGGCAACAAAAGTCTCAATGCCATTTAACAGCTTCTGTGACTCTTGCAAAGGTTGCAACTGTTTATTGTATTGTGTTACCATATGTAGTGCCAAGCAGCGCGGATTAAAGCCTTTTAGGTAACAATTCCATTTCAGCAGGCTGAGGAGAAAGTTTTCTTCCGGCTGCCTCACCTGCAGTGTGTTGCAGTATCTTCGTGCTCATTTGAAAAGGTCATGCATGCAGCTGTGCTGATGGACTACTGGATGGTTTCTGCCGAAGATGAAGATCTGCTCCGTATGCGTGAATTTCCGATAGACTGTCGTTTCTAGTTCCCCAACACCAGCCCTTCGCAGTAGAACGTCTGTAAGTGATAGCTGCCTGTTGTTCGCCCCTTCTCCGTATACTATCGAACACAATGTTGATTAGCTCCTGTGTTTCTAATTTGGAACGCTTGAGCATAAAAGTGAGATTCACGTAACGTATCCAAAGTTTTGGTTACGCGGTTCCAAATGCTATACATTCCAGCGCCTGCATCCCTGATTCGCTTACCAATCCAGTGATCGGCGATCCCTTTGGTGTGCATCTTATCTGCTTGCGAATTTAGTCCTTGAAGGTGAAATGCGTTATTATGCAGGATTCCAGCAACTCCGTCACTTGTGTGGCGTCGCTTTTACTACTTGTATCAGACGACGCATGTTCCTCCAATACGGCGGTCATTATTTGTTTCGTCAAGTCGATGTCGATTGAACTCGATCAATAAGCACTTGAATATCGAAGTCGGTTAGGAAGCTCTATGAATCAAGCTCTTGAATCCGTCTTGAGGATGTTGCTTAGTCTAGCAATGAAACGTCTGGGCACTAATCACTCAGCTCAGAAAACAACGCAATACACACATTCGTACCCCGAGCTGCGGATATTCTCCCCTATTACATGCAATCGCTAAATCTATCTGATAGAGAAAGGCGTCATTACCTTTTCAAAGTGTGATTGGAGCTCTGATTTTTCAAGAAAGTTCCTTGGCAACCGTCAGTTGGCCATCAGATTTTAGGATGACCCTAAATGTTCCTCAACACATTCGCGATTTGTCATTGGGTTTTGTTGCGTTATAAGTCCTGGGACTAGGCTCTCCAACTCACCCTTGTTGTCATCCGACTGCTGCAGCAGACGCTATTTGCATGGCGGATATTCCAACGTTTCCAAAAATGCGTTACCAATCAATTTCCTTCACGGGATGAAGTGGGCTGACTATTGGAAGCGCAGTATTCTCTTGGAGATGTTTCTGTCAACTCGTAAACTTCTAATATCCAAATAAGCGCTGGCTGCTGATATGCGGAGCTCCCAGGGTTCATTACACGAAGCACCGTTATATGAAACTTCACAACTAGTGAAATCGTATCAAAGCATATTGCAAGAAGAATAAAAAAATCCGATCGCGTCCATCAAGTAAGGTCAGTAACATTAAGATGTGCGAGACGGTTAGTTTCATAAGAAACAATTAATTAGAGACTGAGCATTTCCGATTAAGTCTGCAGTGTCTGATGTGCTCTCACAGTTGATGCAAACGACGATAACTGTGGCATTATTGGACTATCCAGGAAACTACAAGGACATAACACCGGAACACGGTGGCTACTGTTGTGCAGTACCGACCAATTTATTGCACTGCGTAGTTTGACTAATACGATCTACCCCATTGATCTGGAATCTTTTATATCCCTCAACTGTTTGTGGTAGAACATCTTTCTTGACGAACTGCAATGCTGTGCAGTTTTGGGATTTTGTAATTGAGCAGACCAGCTTTTCATGAGAGGTCAACTTATTTTCCGACCCGATTGTGGTGGAATGCGGCGCCCCACAAGTTTCAGCACTGAGACCTCCCATTCCTGTTTTTCAATGATGCCGTTGCTCGTGTTATCACTTGAACCTTCCTACTTTACACCGAGGAGGACAAGTTATGGTGTGCAGTCTGTAGTCAAAAATACCAATATTTACCCCAACGATATCTGGACTGAATAGAGGGTAAACTTATGGTATTGTGTCCGCGGCGTCAACCAAATAGTGTATTAGTCCCTGGAAATGACATATTGCAATGCGTATTCACAGCTTTGGCTTGGAGTAATGGTGTAGGATGAACATACCCCTATTTCAAGCGCTCTGTGTCTGTATCGAAACTAGGAACCACCATGTCTCACTGTTGTGGTAGCATTCGGATGGTTTGATCTTTCCACTCCCTCGCAAACGCTCAATACACACTTGAAGCATCAACTAGAGTACGGTACACAGGCCTAGCAGCAATGACAGACGTGCGATCTCAGTGCGCTTGAGACCGCACAACGCAATTTGTTCTATACCCTGTAGCGAATCAGACTGATTCTCCTAGAAGTATACGGCGGTCAATACCTGAACCTGCCATACGATTTCGCACAGATGCATCAGATCCGGAAGTGGCTCATTTCGATTATCGCCATTTCCTGAAGCTTCGTAGCACCGCCGACCTGAGGGTCCACCGGATGACGTTGGTCCTTCATCGCAACCAGGCAGAATATCGCCAGACCTTCCTTACACTATGTACGTATCGCATTGAGTCCATCACTACTCATCCGATTTTATTGACCAGGTTGATTGTAGTAATTGTCATTGCCACTCAGTTCATCCTACGAGGCTTGCTAGGCTCTAGCTCCGTTACCCTCAAAATAAAGCATTAATCTATCCGGGAATCAGATAAAAACATAAAAAGGAAAAAGGGAAAGTATATAATGGTGATTGAAAGCTGGGCTGAAGGGAATCGCCTACCCCGTGCGGTCGATCAGGCAATCGATCGAGCGGACGAATGCGTTTTCAAACACTCGGCTAATTGGACTTTTGCCTCAGAGTTGAGAGGACTGTGTTTTCGGCGGCATTTTCTGGCTACGTTGGCAGAGTTTTTGTTAACACGTTTTTCGTGGTCAAGGCTGTTGGAATTTTGATTTTTCTTCGGCTGGGCTAGAATTGCTGCGGAGAAATTTCTGGGTGGTTAATTCGGAATAGCGAAAAAAAGTGAAGATCTAACATAATCCATTGCTATTTGCCGATTATTGATGACACATACAGGCCTTGTTGATTGATGTTCATCCGGTTTCAGATGATTCATACAAATTGTCTTAGTCCTTTTGAGTACAAATTCTTCTAGTGTGAGGACTTTCTCAAATAATTGATGGTGCAAGCTGTTTTCGAACTGCCACACACTGACCACATCTGGAAATAGACTACCAACTCTTGTGGTAAATAGCTTCTTTTGTTAGGTGGATTTGAAGCGGTGAACTACAATGTCCTCCGTATCGGTGAACGCCTAATAGTGGGTACCTTTTGAAGTGTTTATGCCATCGAATTGGGTAATTAGTATCTGACCGCATAATCGAACACACTTTGCATTAATGGTGAAATCGCCCCACTTGCCCATCTGTAATTTGAAAGTAGTCAGTTGTTCTGATTCCCTTAACTCTCCAATTTACTACGGGCTCAGATTGCGCTGTTTCTTATCAAATGCTTCCAAGTTGATCCGTACACACAATTTAGCAAATTAGATTCCTTTGTCTACTACTTCATCGATAAAGGCTGGAACCAGCGGCCCCCTCTCTCCCCATAACATATGATTAACTCCTGTGTTCGCTCGCCTTTTGACTGACCTCAGCTCAGTTTAACCAGGTCGCTTTAACCACCGTCTGTGGCTTTTCATTTGGTACACATGTACACCAAGCACTTAAGCACTTTGCATTCCAATTCCATCCACCACAGTTTGTTGCTGTCTGAGTGGCACCCATTTCTGTGACCGAATAAGCCACAGAACTGCTCAGGCGTTGGGTCTATGATCTGCCTACGATTGATCTCGTGTGCACTGCGAAGTGAACCAAGTCACACCTGTCTACTATCATCTGACTCACAGTGTGGAGATGAGTGCTTTGGAATTCGGTGATTCGCCGTTTCGGTGAGCAAAACCTCGGCGTTTTAGACATGGTTGACCCCCGAACGCAGAGCAAGAGAAGCTTCGCCGAATTTTTCTGGTCAGTTGAGATCCATCAATTCCTCGAAGTTAACAGTCACTATCATCAACATACTGCGAGTTAAAACCACTAAGGACAACACCGAAGGCAAGTAATATTAGGCTTTGATTTTATGTGCCCATAAAAGATTGCGGTTGGGTGGGGTGATAAGCTGAAGGGGAAGGGGCTGAGAAACTCACAACACAAACGCTACTGAAGTCGACTTTTCCATAAGTCATCAAGTGTCTCCGACCAGACATGTCCATCTTCTTTGGGTATCCAAACCCAGGAGTTGGGCGACACCAGCCGCAGCCAAGGTCGTAGTGGGGGGGCGTTCACTCCATTTGATGAAGCCATCAGTTGGCCTAACCCACTCTTCTTCCACCCAGACCCCATTCACTTAAACCATGCATTTCGCAGGAGTCGGTTCGTTGGCTTGCCTAGTACATCAATGTCAACAAGTCAACAATGCACTTTATGCACCTATGAAGAGTGAAAATTCAGTTACAAAACAAATAAAATAAAATAAAAATATGACAAATGTATATGGTGCGCTACCAGTTTAAAAACGTGCCAGTGGCGATGTCATCGATTCAGTCTGGCAATGAGGTCTTGTTTGACTTCATCTTGGTCCCTCAGAAAACGTGACGAACAGGGAACAACTAACGTACCGTAAGCCCGTGTGCGGGCATAGAGGGGTTTGTACGTTTGTCTGGTCGAAGAAGTTTAGATACATTCCGACAATGCACAATGGAGAGGATGACTGGCGTCAGTGAGCAATTTGGACGCCAGCTTTTCGCAGGAGCGAGCATGATTGGACACAATGATGTTAATAAACACTAGCATAGAAATTCCGCTGCATCGAGCAAGATACTTCAGCGAACCTTTGATCGTCTTGAATTGCCCGTTTAAGAGTCCGGGAAATGTCACAGGGGAGCAATACGTCCAGTGCGGTATTACGCAAGGGGTGACAAACCGCAGAATTAAGTAACGAGGCAGGGCTGATGATCTAGTCGGGAGACGTAGAACGTTAGTTTCCTGATTTTAGCTAATGCTTCATTCACGTGATGCGACCACGTGAGATCCCGGCTTAGTGTAACTCCGAAATATTTCACTACTGTGCAGGAGTTTAAACTGACACTGTCAATATTACGATGCGGAGTGTGCGTCAGGAGTTGCTGGTAACAGTTTTCCTTGACTAGCGAGAAGATAACATCTTTACAGTTTTGAGTTCAGAGAGGTTTGATGCGTTGAGCGAAAGACAGCGAGATTTGGATCAGAAAGTGAGGTTGTCCAAGAAGCATTGCAAGTTGGCCGGTGAATCTGTGGTGTGCTTGTGTGCACCAAGGATCCCGTCATCCACATACTTTAGTAGGATGGCTTCTTGAGGAGCGGGAATGGAGTTAATATAGGTGGAACATAGGAATGGGGACAAAATAGCTACCTGAAGAACACCTACACTTGTGTTAACTGAGGAAGAGTTTCTCCCCTCAATCTTGGTAACCTGCATACGATTGGCAAGATAGTCTGTAAGAAAAGATACTAATGAAGCTTGAACTCCGGAAACTAGCAGATCGAGTAATAGCAGCTTGCAATTTACACAACCGAAAACGCTGCTGTAACCTAGGAAGCAGATTCGCGTGGGTTTGCTTTTTTTCTATCGAGTGATGGAAGCATGGTGTGTACAAGCTATGGCCAGCTTGCAGTCAGTCCCATTGTGGCCGGCTGCATCCACTGGTCTTTTGCAACGTACACCCTTTTGTTACTATATGAGCAATTGGTCAGGTCGAATCTCTTCCTAGTTGATGCTATTCAACTAACTGCAGACTAATCTCTATGCATGCTCTTCCTTACAAAAACTGAATCAGTCTGAGCGCATTCGATACTCTTGATCCTTGCGACAACAAAACGTACAACCTGCTCCCAAGTAACGCCGTTCATGTCCACCTCATCTGCGACAGCCACTTGCTGATTTTCGCTTGGACCTGACGTCTTGTCCGGTACCAGCTTGGTAGCAGTGTGAAATTGCGCTTCCCTCTAACCACACAGCACCCAATAAAAACCGTCTAACCTTTGTGACTACAAATAATGGTGTGGCCCGATGGTGCATTGGTGGTGAGTCTGCTTGCTTTCACCCACAGTGTCCCTGATTCAACTTCCATCTTCCTACACGCCTGCTTGAGGAAGGTAAACACGCTAGTGGAACCTGTTGTGAACTTTGAGCTGAGAATGAATTCAGTTGTCTGAACTGCGAAAACTTCTCACCTTCAGTATTGTATTCAACCCTGAAAAGAAACAGTTTCTCTACCTATCTGATTGAAACAGTTTGCTAAAACATTATCTTACACAGCGTCCTCTAAAAGATGCGGGCAATTTCGGCCACACATATGCCTCATCACATGGATTTGCAGCCACAACTCCCGGGAATTGCAAGTTTGTGGGCCAAGTTACCATGACAATCGGTGTAAATAGCCCGGGCGAAACAGAGGAGTGGATATTTCTCATATTTAGGCCAAACTTATGAGACCGATCGATCCGTGAACTCTAGTTATTGACTTCACCGTAGAACACCAGGCGAGCGTGCGGGTTTCATGCTCGGTAATCTTGCACAGCGCACTCCTAGGTCGTCCCGTTCCAGACATTGCTCTTGACCTGTGGAACAAACGTTCCGTAAAATCGATGCGAACACGTGGAGAACGTCGCAAATTAGGCGACTGCTGGATTGGTCTACGAGTATGTTTGGTTTCTTTGTTAAACGGCTTCCGCTTGCAACACCGAAGTAGTCATTCAGCTCGTCTGAGTAAATATATAAGCTTTTTTCTAGACGGTGCGAAAGTCTGTTACCGTATAGGTACACAGTTGTGTTGCGCTGATGATGTCATCAAAAATACTACCGGAAAGAAATCAATTCAGCATGCGGAGTTGGAATGGATGCAAGTATTTCTGTGCCTCATGGTGAGGTTGACGTGACATTCATGATACTTCTTTACCGCAATTGGACTAAACCAACTGACACTTACATTAGGTCTTTTTAATCTGGATACAAGTCATTCCTCTTTATTTGATTTGTTGGATTCTGTTAGTCCGCTGCATATTCTGTGTCAATTTTACATGTTGTTTGATATCTCCGGGTATGCCAATAGGTTCACCAATCTCTGGACTGGTGGCCGTGGCAGTGATGCGAGCAATGAAACAAACGACACTGCCGATGGTGGGGCCCAGACTTCGGGTACTTGACGTGGACGATACCTATGTCATCCTCAAGCACTCCATCTGATCAATAATATTTTCCGCGGCATCCATTTCACCAAAGAGGAGGAGAACAACGACCAGCTGTCACTCTTAGACGTGCTCGTGAAAAGACATGCTTCCGGCCCCTTGGAAACAACAGTCTATCGAAAAGCGACGCACACTGAACAGATTTTAAACTATCGCAGTTACCATCCGGCCAATTACAAGCGCAGTTGCCTGAGGACACTTTTCAAACGGGCCCACACACAGTGCAGCACGTTGCAGCTGAGCAAGGCGGAGGAAGACCATCTATTTAACATGTTCCAGCGTAATTTGTACCCTATAAGTTTTATTCTACGCTGCCTGAAGTCGAAAAATTAACCACAGCCTGCTTCCGCAAGCGCAACGAAAAGAAAAACAATCGTCCTACCTTACATCCATGGGATTTCTGAGATAGCAGCGAGGCTTTTAATGGCTCACGGGATCAACGATGCACATGAAGCAACGGCAACCATTTGGAGTAACCGTTTCAGAGCAAAAGAGCAACCGAGTAGAAAAGAAACATCAGGTGTGATTTACAAAATTTTCTGCAAAAATGGTGAGAAGGACTATGTGGGCCAGACAGGGAGGAAACTTGGCACAAGACTGCATGAACACAGCCTGGCCATCCGCCGCCAAGATGAAAGATCATTAATGTCGGTACATATGGATGCCGAAGGCCATCAGTTTGATCTGGGGAACGCCAAGATACTGGGAAGGGCAAAGAACCGCAGAGTTCATCGAGACCTGGCATTCGGGCCAGAACTCAATCAACAAGCATCTAGAACTCGAAGGGGTCTACGAAGCTCTGCAGGTGAGGTCACAAATAAGTACCAGATGGACAGGGCATAGACGTGACCACATGGCCGACTCACGTGAGCCAATCGAAGACACATTCAAAGTATGAGACGATCAATAGTCATTTGGATCTGGCAGTGGCTTACGAGACTGCAAACCAGACCCCTATAACCGCACTTAGGACGTTGCCTAGTTTGGCAGTGAAACGTCTGCAACAAAATTGCCTAGATCGGAGAACACAACAATCCTCTCATCCACATCTTGAGCTACAGTTATTCTCTTTACTTTGCAAAATAATGCTGGTTCCCGTCCTGGCCTCGGATGTGTGGATGAGATATTCACACTCTCTTAAATCCTGGAACGCCTCTACTTTTACCAGAGTTCTACCATCTTTGCAATCCTGGACATCCGTGCTGCATTTGACTCCGTTGATCGACCTGCACTATGGCTTTTTTGTTAAGGATTTGTGTCCCAGAATGGCAATCTGCCATCCTATGCGCACCGTATTTCCTCATCTCTGGCAGAATGATTGTGTATAGCAGACTTTCGTCGTCCTTCGCTGTCAATAGCGGTGTACGAAAATGCTGCCCTTTGTCGCCGTTCCTCTTCAATTTTGCGATTAAAGACATCCTGTCGAGAGCTCTAGATGTTTGCCAAAATTTTGGTATACAGCTGTTACGGGGCAAGCTAGCAACCGACTTAGATTACGCCGATGATATTGCCTTACTTGTTTACGACTCACAGAGCATGCAAACCATTCTAGACCGCTTGGCGATTGAGACATCTAGGTACGGAATGTGCTTTGCACCGTCAGTGTAAAGTGCTGCTTCAGGATTGGAACTCAATTGTTCCCCTGCTCAATAGTGAGGCTGCACAGCTTTAACAAGTGGATAGTGTTGTCTACCTTGGCAGCAGTGTGTCTGCTGGTGGTACCATTAGAAGAGGAGTTTCTCTTTGCATCGCCATAGCTCGGTTGGCGTTTGTCAACCTGCAGCACTTGTGGCGTCGCCGGGGCATCTCCATCTTGGTAGAGGGTCGTGTTTCCAATGCCACCGTTCTGGCGATGTTGCTATATGGAAGCGGGTCATGGCCTATTCACGTGGACACTATGCGCCGCCTCTCGGCCTTCGACAACGGGTGCTTGAGGAGGATTGCTCGTGTGTGGTAGCAACAACAGATTTGCAACAGTGAAGTCAGACGTCGTGTCTTAGGGAATGCGAGTATTCCCTTCAGCAAGCTGATTTTGCTGCGCCAGTAAAGTTGGCTCGGTCATGTCCTGCGTTTGTCAACTGAGCGTTTGCACTATTGCGCTCTGTTTGCTCGTGCAGGACGCAACTGGAAGAGACCACGTGGTGGTCCACCATTCACCTGGTGACAGCAAATGAAATCGTTGATTTCACGTCTTACCACCCTTAGATCCACACGTCTGCCTGGTTGGGGGACCAAAGGACTAGGAGTGCCGATGGTGGGAAGCAATTCAGGGTATGGCTCATAATCGAAACCAGTGGAGGATCAGTGTATATAACTGCTTAAATGGATACTTAATGCTTGATGATTAAAAACGACAAAAAACAAAACGATGGCGTGTGCAAAATAACAAAAATTGCGCCGTTGTTTTTTATATTGCGGCAAATAGCTGAGGTGTGTTGCTCACCTTCAGTTAATGTGCCATGATGCTGATACGGTGTTCAACCTGTCTTCTTTTAGTTATTTCCATGACAATGTTTGGCTCTACGTCCATTTGATAGGCAGCTAACTATACTACTACTGTGCAATTGGGTTCCTGTTAGTCCTGAACGCCGTTACAATGGAACTTATGTAAACGCAAGCGCAACGGTTCTGCTCCCGGATACTCATTTATTTTTGCTTCCCCATTGGAACTCTCTCAAGTTATCCCCATTTTCCGATGGCAAATGCGAGTGCTCTTAACGTACAGCAGGAATAGCAACCATTTATCAAGTTCAAGGTCATCTGCGTCTTTGACTGTCTGCGCCTTTTAATACGGGGAGTGTGGTGGACTGGGAGTCTCCATCTAACCCAGACGCATTGCGTTTCATACTCACCACCCTTAAGCTCTGCTGCACTGATTCACCATAGTCTGGGCACCGGATGTCAACCGGTGTGATCCCTTACTGTCTCTGAATAGCCTGTCTTTTAAGTTATCGTATGTGCTGCACGGAATTCCCCACGAGTACCGAATAATTCACACTTGGCTGCTGTATCTGGCTTCACATATCTTGGCAGGTACTGTGAAAGTAGCGCTTTGCGAATATCGGAAATTCCTTCAGCAATTTACGATGGCCCGTTGCCGGAATGTGTTGTCATTGGTGGTTTAGATCTTGGTCACCGGACCCCAGCGCGGAATATTTTCCGGTACAGTAGTGAAAACTGGCCACTTTAGTCTGAAAGTCTCTGGGCCTTCACTTCGAATCTGGTAGCATCAGCATGTACGCAAAGATAGTGTAAGCGGGCGATCACAAGATATTGTTCGGAAGTAACTCATCACAATCTACTCTCGGTCGGCAGACGTTGGCACTTTTGGAAAACACCAGACGGCGCTGTTTCGACATTCTGGGTCTCGTCAGTGGTACTGCTTCCTCGGACCCCTGCCGGGGTCTGACTCCATGGCTTCCGGAGGCCAGCAGCTAGTGCCACTTACTCATAAGTAACGGCCGCGGACCTGGATGATTGACAGTTGACTCTGATATGGCCCGGTTGCACGATAGCTACCACCCACTAACGGTAGTGAGAAGGAGAACCACACTCGGTGTATCAAACAATATTAATCGCCGCGAGCCGAACCGGTAGCCAAGTGTCTGTGAGTACGAATCAACCGAATAATTCAAATCAGGACATATACACAGGCTATGCAGAAAGCTTAATATTCGGTCCATCAAGGTTGGTCAGTTCAAGGGCGAAGGATCGATAAGGTGCCCCACGAACGAGCGAAACACAGAGTAGGAAAAAAATCTAAAAAAGCATCAGATTCAGCCTCAACACAAGCTAATCACAACTGCGAGACAAAAAGAAACACGTATACGGGAACCATAAAAAGGTGGGATGCATACGGGTGAGTGAGGCAAAATCACAAACAACGGCGAGGATTGGAGTTTTCATACCTGCGCTTTAACACAAAATCATGCCTTCCGATCCGTAGGCTAGATAGGCTATGATATATATATATATATATATATATATATATATATATATATATATATATATATATATATATATATATATATACGGTTGGCGGCATGCGGTTTCGGATTTGCCTGTCACTGTGGCCTACAGAGGGACCATGGGTGGCTTGCGCTGCACCACCCACAGCTCAAACCACATATCCCATATCCAGTGTAAACCCGAAGGAATAAGACCGGAAGGCATGTGGATGGGAGCCACGTTTCATCAACGGAGCCGACCCACCCTCTTTCACAGCAAACACAAGCACGCTGTATTTGGGAATCAAGCGCACACAAGCTGGTGGCTGAAACGTAGTCCGCTCCACACTGAGTGCATGGAACCACTCTTTGATCTTAACACAGCCACAAGGACCGTGCACCCCGTCCCCTCCAGCAACGACCAACTGTCTCCTAGAGTAAGTATGGACGAGGTAATAGGTAATAGACAGGTAGGCACCTTGTCAACGTGCACATTAAGCGCAGCCACACCGGGGATATCAAGCAAGAGCCAATCACTTGAGAGAAAGATAACAAATAAAATAAATCGAGTAATGCATAAGGAAACAGTGACATAAATCTTAAATTAATGAGCATATGAAATAAGTTGTCTACAAACGAATCCGAGATAAGTTCACGAGGTCAGAAAGTATATTTTACGGAAATGCCACAAACAAGAAAATGTTATCGAAATTAACTACAATTGGCTTAAGCGACGTGTGCAAGTTGATAGAAGAGAGTACTGGTAGACATTTATATGAGAAAGAAAAGCATTAGGACAAAATTTCAAACCCACCACCTGAAATAAAGAAACTTAGCATGCAAGCACAACCACCTATCGCCCCATAGATCAGGACCCCAGTATAAAACTGAGTACTCAAATCAACACAGCATTGAAGAAACTACAAGCAACGAGTGAGATTACCAAGCAGGAGCGATGGAAGATGAAAGCTGAGGATACAAACATTGCAAGGTTCTATGGACTGCCAAAAGTACACAAAGACGGAGTCCCATTGCGTCTAATAGTCTCATTGCCAGGACCCCCATCGTACAATTTTGCAAATTGTATGTGGGAGAAATTAAAACATCTAATTGCCGGCTCTGAACAAAGCATCATCAATGCTGAACAATTCAACAAACTGAAGTGTGTTACAGTAGAGGAAGATGAAATCATGCTGTCGTTTAATGTCACCGCACTCTTCACGTCGATCAATCACGAACTTTCAAAAGAAACCATGATGGAATTACTTCGAAATCAACCGAACACAATATGAAACCTCAAGCTGGAGAGCATATGGGAACTCTTGGAACTCTGCAAGACTACTTATTTTTACTTTGATGGGCAAGTATACCAACAAATGAAAGGAACGCCCATGGGATCACCCATCTCAGGACTTATTGCAGAAGCGGTGATGCAAAGACTGGAGAGCATCACAATACCGTTAAACAAACCACTATTATGGATCCGTTATGTGGACGACACGTTTGTCATCATCAAACGAGATTCCATACAGAATACCCATAAGTTAACCAACAACACATTCCAGGATATCAAGTTTACAATTGAACTCGAAAAAGACAACGTTACCATTCTTAGATGTACTGGTCCAAAGAAACACTGACAGAACATTTCAGGCATATGTATATCGAAAGAAGACCCACACAGACCAAATATTAAACTACCACAGCAACCATCCACTGAACCACAAGAACAGCTGCATTCAAAGCCTTTACAACAGGGCCGAAACACAGTGCAGCACGACAGAGTTGAGGAAGAAGGAAGAGAACCATCTATACCGGGTATTGCAAAACAACGGGTATCCAAGAAACGTCATCAGAAGAAGCCTAAAGAAGAAGGTGCAGCAACAACAG